GCGAAATAAATTTTTTTAATATATTCATTATAATCATTTTAGTTAATTCAAATTAAAATATGTGTTGATTAATATTATTTTATTATAATTAACTTTTTTTGAAGAGTTTATTATAATTAACTTAATTACTATAATTAAATGTAATAATATGATTTTATGAATTTAAAAATTACAAAAATTAGACAGAAAATAACAAATATAGTGATATTAGGTTTTTATCTATCCATATATAGTGAGATTAGATGACTTGCTCTTTTTAATAATTAACAATAAATAGATAATAAAATAATAGATATTCCGATAACTTGCTAGCTAGCTTACGTGTGTTTAAAGTGAAAAATTCTAAAAAATTGTAATATAAATATGGTTAGTTTAACTTTTTGTTTGGTTATTTATTATATTTTAAAACTAATATAGTGAATATTTAAAATTAACTGGATTTCACAAACAAAAACTGGAAAGTTTTCCTTATTATGGTTTAGCTACCGAAGTTTTGTGGTGAATCAATAAAGATTCAGAAATTTTGAGCTGAAACCATGTGCCGTACTCTAGTATTATAAATCAGGGAAACCGCTATTTCGTATAAAACTCTAATGCTCATATTTTTAAAACATATAACTTATCTTATTTAATTTTTTTAAAGGCATATATTTTCTTTCCTATTATTTTCCTTTTCATCATTAAAATATTAAAAATTACTACCTTTGCATAGATCGTTGTAGTATATACAGATTAAAAAAAAAAAACAAGATCATTGTAGTATATAAAAATAACGATAATCATATATACAACTGAATAGGGTAACAAAATTAAGTCCCTTGACTTTAGCTTTTGATAAAGAGGAAGAGAACACAGGTTTAAACTCCATAATATCTTGTCAATAAAAAGAAGTAACAAAAAATATTTAGAAGTATATGATTGGAGGAATTTCTAAATTATATTGATAATCAATTCTATGATTCAAGCTTCATCAAGCAGCGATTGCGTCTCCATGTGATCAGAGATGATTAATTACTTATATATATTGTATGGTTGAAGTCATGTATTAACTCCCATTTCAATTTTAGATTAATTCATGAATGTGTAGTTTTGTTTTATGAATTTTTGTTTGACAAGATATTTTCTTTTCTCAATCCGTGGATGGGAGACTATCGATATCAATATTGGTATATCATCTTCAATAATACAAAGAAAAATTAATAAATTAAGTAAAAAATCTTTGATGAAGCCTTAATTTACATGCATTTTTTAATATCTAATTCGCACTTTGTGCATGTTAGTTAATAGTTTGATTCTACGTTTTTATATTATTCTAGCTAAATGAAATCAAGTTTTATTACTTTTTTGGTATGCAATAATGAAAAAAGATTAAGTTTGGATTATAGAGAATATATTATATTGCGCAGAGAATATCAAATATTCTGGAGAGATGTTTTCTCCTTATTACCAAAGAATTACAATTTGTAGAAGTGCATGTGTAGTATTTCCACTATTCAGTGACTTAGAGTAGCTTGATCACATCCAGATGACCTACGAATCTCCATTTATCAATTCTAGGAATCTTCATCTATCAATGGCCTTGAGGCCTTCGTCATTGCTGATCCTCCTACTGGTATTTTTATTACTTCATGTAACTTTTTATTTTTTTCCTTCTTCATATTCTGCTATTATCGTTTTCATGGCATAAGCCTCGTGGCCGATGAATGAGAGATTTTCATGCTATCATTCTTGATATCTTCTTTTTCTTCACTTATTCATTTGAACATATTATCACGCAATTCATAATGTTTCACCATTTAAGTTTTAAAATTGGTTTATTTGATTTTCGTAAAATAATTTAGCAATTCCTTAGCAATTTGGACTCGTAGAATTAACATCACGCCTAATATGTGTCAGACTATGCTCAAAATTGCTCTTTTCAATTGTTTATCTCATTTATCAATATTATAAAATGTCAAATATGTTTAAATATCTTTAATTTTCTTCATAAAAATAAGAATAATGTTCAAGGTTCTTCGACTTATGAAGATGGAAGTCGAAATAAGTTTTTCTCAAATGTCTCGTCGTATCTTTGATGGAGAAAATTAAAGATATTTAGATTTTTTTTTTCTAGTTTTTCTTAACTCATTATCTTTAGATACTTATTTGAATTTCATCTTCGAATTTAACCTTCCTCTTTTTCATACCTGTTCTTTCCCTCTTTTTACTTTGTTCATATACAACTTATAGGTTAGTTTGTATTTGTTGTATTTTGTATTTTGTATGTTATTTGTAGTTTTTTTTCTAGATAAATATTATCTATTTTTATTAATGGGTTCTCTATTTATAAAACAAAATTGTAATACAAAAATTTGAATACTAACAATATGTAATTTCAACTTATAATATTAATTACTTAAATGATAAGAATAATATTTTTATCTTTAACTAACCGATATCATAAAAATTCAACGCATAATAAACTTCATAAAAACTAAGTTATCATATTTTCAAACTCAAGATATTTAGGTATTTACTCAACAAGTATTTCCTTTGTTATTCCAAAATTGGATATTACATAAATAATTCAACTAAAATATTATTTTATTTATTTATTTATTTATTTTTGAAATTTCTTGGCAATGACTATATGTCATCCGCACTTGTGAGTTTCCTCAATGAAGTACAATTTTGAATATTAGAACCTTGCACACCGAAACAATGGGTCCTTAGAATTAAAGTGCAATATTAAAAAAAAATGGAACTCTCCTAATGTGGCAAATAAAAGACAGTTGTTCACATAATAGTGGTCACGTTAGAGAGGACATGAAAACCCTCTATCTTAAACAAGGAATTGCCAAATAAATTAGTTGATTTTATTGGAGTATAAGCACAACCCAATCACAATAAGCATGTTTTTTTTTAAATGTTTGTATACTTATCCGTGTTAAACAAACATTTGTTGTAGGCATTTAGTGCATTGACAATTCTCATCTTTTTGACACCATGCTGGTATTACATGTTCATACATATGGAGAACCATGTGAATTTGAACTCAAGAAACATCGTGTCCCAATTGCAATCAGAAATTAAGCACTCAGCTGAACTGTTAAACCCTATGAAATCATCATCAACCAATTTAGCAAGATTTCTGAATTCAACCCTTGATACAACTTATATCTCCTTCTCTGATATTGAACGGAAGGTTAGTTTATTAGCATATTGTTGATTTTTTATTTTCTTTTTTTCTTCAAATTATATGCACCCAAAAGGTCTCTCAACCAATGGAGACAACTGTGTGGACATGGGTTTTGGGTGATGTCCAAAAGCAAAACCGTGAGGGCTTGAACCCAAAGCGGACAATATCTCACCAATGTGGAGACATGTATATGTGTGGTAACCCCCCTAGGTGCTCAACAAGTGGGTCCATGTGGAAGAGAGGCTTCCTAGTAACATGGAGGGATTCAAGTTTGGGATCTCTTGTATCAAAAGTCTTCCTAAGAGTGGGTCTATGTGGTAACCCCATAGTGCACAACAATTTTGTACATGTTCTCCTTTTCTTTTTATTCCCTTTCATGTTTTGCTTTTGGATATCGCCTAAAATGTCACTCTTCCAATGGAGAAAATTATGTATATATAAATTCATGTCCAATTTCTTGTTTGAATGACGTGAGACTTTGGTTGAATCCCATGAGATACTTTACATAATTTATCACTTTATCTTTTCGTAGATAAAATTATCAAAATTCTGAATAATTTTTTAAATAAAAATTTGTCTTGTCTTCTTTTCTCTCGAGATTGGTCATAGTCAGCATGGATTGTCAGGATTGATTAGAATACAATACAGTGATAATATAAATATATGAAAATTAAAGTATTTAGAGATTAAATTAATAAGATAGAGATTGGATATCCATGTCAGCAGCTAAGTTTGCCAGCTTCTTCTGGTTGGAATCATTTCAAAGATGACTCATTGCTTCACTGTAAGCTATTTTACGCACTTTTCTTCCTTCCGATTTGGGGTTCACTCGAGAGTAAGAGAGTGATGTTGCAGTGCATATTTCTCGTCTCAGATGCCGGGTAAGATAAACAAAATTATGTATTAGATTATTTTTCACATGTATGCTTTGAGTCTGCTCCACTTGCTTGAAATTCAGTGTTAATTTGACTGCAATTTGAATTTAATTTCATGGGTAGAGAGTTAATGCTGGAGAAGCAGCTCACGGGGCACCGCCTGGATCGCTCCATTTGTGCCTGGTTCTGGGAACAAACCATTTCACTAGGCGACTCCTTCAAGGTGTTTATTTTATTTTATTTTGTTTCATTTTCACTTTTTTATTTATTTATTTATTTAAAATTTCATTCACCTTATTTATTCGTGTCCTTCAGCAACAACCAGTGATTGCCTCTCCCACGCATTATATTTTCCATGTTTTTCGCGAGGGAATCACTTTTCTGGGGTGCACGCAAGTTGAAATGCCACCCTTAATGGCCATTGAGGTATACCTTTTGCAACTCATGATGTGAAGCCACTTTGTTTACTTTTCTATTTTCTCTTAACTATATGATTTTTAGTTTTTGTAGGGTAGCTGATGTCCTCAATGATTATTTTGGGGCATTGAATGAAGACATAGTTAAAGACAACTTTGTCATTGTGTATGAGGTACTTATCTACACAGGAGTTGTATACCATACCCCACAACTCCATGATATGCAATACATGTTTACAGCACTGTGAAAGGTGAGACAATTAAGATCAAGGAAGCTATATCCTTAAACTGAGGCAAGAAATGAGTCAAATGACAAATAGTTAATTAGCTTATAGGCTACAGCAGCTCAATTATCTATCTACCATAAGTAATCACACAAGAACAGAAATGAATGCAAGTTTTGTTAGATCCTGGTGTCAGATTCAGCTGCATTGAATT